ACAGCATCAAAGATCCTTCTGCGGTCATAAAATCTGAAAGCTTTTTCTGAGCAGCCTGTGATGGAATCTGTAGATAGGAGCCTAACAAGGGGAAATGTCAGTTACCTAAAGTCAGATATTTAGCAGTTTTTTATCAACTACCAGAACACTGTCCTTCATTTACTCAGGTGAAGTAGTAAACACTGCAGATTAGCACAGGTACCTCTGCAAAGACTAAAAGAACAAAGTCTGCAAGCAACTCTCCTGATAAAATTACAATTCTGTTGCTGAAAAGCTGAGAACAAGTGATCAAAGAGGCATTGGAGCTTGGCAGTGTAACTGCAAGCCTGGAGCCAGGCAATCCCTTGTTCTCACTCTGTACCATGTCCATTCACTGAGTAGCCTCAAGCAAGTGAACTGAGGCCTACTGCCAATTTTGGGCACAGTATCCATGGAGATAGAGATTTTTAGAGATGCCAAGAGACAACAGTTATTGTCACTTTCAGTTGCAACACTCCTTCATTTGGCATAGAAAATAGTGAAACTGAAAAAATGGTCATGCTCAAGTGGAGAGAACAAATGCTGCTCTAAGAACCATGGCCTGCAGCTGTCAAACTACTCATTACAACCAAATCTCACCAGGCAAACTTACTTGTGAAATTTGCCCCTCTCCAAATTCACATGGAATTTGATGACAGAAGGTGCCGTCAGGTGATCCATCTGGCAGAAGGAGTCCATGGGAGCCATGTCCTTGTCACTGTCCCCCATCACAAAGCGGCCCCGTCTTGCAAAAATGTTGCTTTTGGGTGGCTGCACCCTGGAGCTGAGTGGGCCCTGGGGGTTGTCAGAGGTTTCCTGGACAGAGTCCTCCCCATCTGTCACTGTGTGTTCATCTGTCACTTCAGATTCCTCCATGTCAAAACTGCCAAACTTCTTCATCTTGCCAAGAATGGAGGACATGATGAGCCAGCAGTCTGTGAGGAAGGACACAAACACCTCAAGTCAGCACTTACAGGGCCATGAGTCTCTCTTGCCCAGGAATGTTTTCCAGAAAGAGCAGGGAGTGGATTGGTTGCTCTCATCCCAGAAATGAGGCAGATGGACACATTCTCACTGTGCTCACAGGCAGAACAGTTCAGTAGGGTCTTTACCTCTATTCCATTTGTTCCTGTTCTCACTGCCCTTACCCATTCCAGAATGCAGAAAGCAAACCTGAGCATCCCAGAGCTTCCTGTCCATTTTACTGCAGAGCTCAGCCTCAGCTACCTCTGCCTAAAACCACTGCCTCATCCTCCAGTCATTGCTAAAGCCTGAACAACCTCAAACCCCAAAAAGTCTCTGCTTTTCTTCTCTACTTTCTGACTGGTTTGTGCCACAAACCATTCTCATGATTCTATCAGGGATGTGAAAAGCCCTGTTTGTGCTATAACCTGATCTCTGGGATGCTGAGCACAGAGGGCTTCCTGCGGCCAGAAAAAATGATCCCTTAAGGGCTTTGCCAGAGTCGTGGCAGTGCCTGATGGAAATGGGAGTGTGTGATCCTTGAGAGGTGAGTGTCACCTCAGCCACGAGGCACGGAAACACAGAGGAGAGGTTACCACAGATAAGAACAACCACACAGCTGATCTTGTCTGATTCACAACCACACAGAACCTGACACAAGCAACAAATAGACAATCAGAGAATGCTTTGGGTGGGAAGAGACCTTAAAGCTCATCTCATTCCACCCCTCTGCCATGGGCAAGGACACCTTCCACTATCCAAGGTTGCTCCAGGCTCTGTCCAAGCTGGCCTTGGACATTTCCAGGGATGGGACAGCCACAGCTTCTCTGGGCAGCCTGTGCCAGGGCCTGCCCACCCCCACAGATAACACACTCTGCTGAAGATAGAACGGGGTGCCTTTTTTTCCTTTGGTTTCTTATCAACCCATTTTAATCAGACAAATATTGTCCTTGTGCCACTGAATGCAAAATATCCTGAATTCCAGCAGTGGAGACAGTGGAACACATCATATCTGAACTGATATCTGAGCAGGATTAGAGACATGCTCTGAAACCCCACAGCTTTGAGCACAGGAATGTCAGAAAATCTTTAAAAAGCCTCAAATTGTAAACCACATTAGTGTGGTCAGTAATTTTCTCTGTACAGTCAGGGTGAAAACAACATGAACACACTTCAAGGTTGTTTCTCTTCACAAGAGAAACATTCTGAGGATTGTGTGCAAACCTGCATTGAAGCTGGATTTTCAGTTCTGTGGGAATAACTCATATTTACATCAAGGGTCACTTACATTTTTCTGTGAAAGCAGGACAGGGAAGAAAATTTTGTCATTTGCATTTTCTATAATTTTGTACCATATACACATAAAATATCAATTTGCAAACTTGCACATTTAGGGTTACTGGAAGCAAACCAGCATAGCAGAGATAAAATACTAATGACTACAATTTAAATTGCTCACCTTTCAAGTCCTTTGTCTCCTTAGAATCACTCTGAAAAAATAACATAATATCTTATTAACTGAATTGTCCTATAAATAAGAAATAAAAATATTTCTATTTGGAACAAGAATCTGAAATTACAGAAGAACTATTAATCCAGTGAAAAAGAAATAAAAACAGTTCTATAAAATATAGAAAAAATACAGTGGGAATTTAGTAATGTATAATTTTAATTTTTTGTCTTATTTAAACTCATGCAGATTGAGCCAAAAACATCAGTGAGTGGCTACAGAACACACAATCAATTATTTTCCACAAAACAAATATAAATGTGCAGAATAGGCTACATTATACATGCTTTCCTTTCTAAACCCTAGTAATATATTTGATAATGAAGACAAAGCTGCATTTCCTCATGAGTATAAGTTTGCAAGGGAAATAACCCTCACAAATCTGTGGAAGGATTATAAAAAAAAAAACCCCAATAAGCATTATCTAGTTTAAAAAATACAAAATGTACTTGACCTTCTTGAAACCCATGTACACAGAAGTTTGATACAATGAATAAGGAAATATTTTGGCTAGAATGCCTTGCCACATCACAGATAATAGAGTTTAAAAATAACCAACCATGCTATTCAAATATACATGCAGAACTTACAAATATTGACAAAAATCCTGTCTTCTGAAAAATGGTCCAGTCTCAGTAAACACCCACTGATCTACAGGAATTTGGTGCCAGATATTCCTCCTCCAAGGTGCCTGGACTGCAAATCCCTCAGAGTTTGCTTCTCCACTTCATTTGTCTGCAAAATGTGATGATTTTTAGAACCCAGGGAAGTTCACTGGAAAAACAGAGAATAGAGCAATAAGATAATGAAGAACAATTCTGGAACCAGAAGCATCAGTGGCTTCTATTCCCAGAGGTTTAGCAGAGCTCTTTACAAGAATTGCAGTAAGTTGCTGTTGTTTTTCCCTCCCCTTTAATTGCATTTAGTAATGGATATTGTTCTCCAGATTTCCTGTTCGTAAATACACTCAAGTTTGCAGGAAAAAACCAGCACCCAAACCACCAGACAGCAGTTGTTTCTGGGGGGTCACTGTTTCAATTCTTGAATTTCAATTCAATTTACAAAACTTTGTAAAATATGCCACAATACCTTTCTGGACACCTTTCTTGGCTGGCTGATTTAAAAATAAATATTTTAATGATAAGCTAATTCAGAACAGAGTTGAGGAAGAAGCAGTAAGTCCAAACCCCTTTTTTATTATTTCATGTTTCTCCTATGTTTTATTTAAATTTTATATACATGTATGTAAGAGTCAGCCTCTAAATATTAAAGTTATAAGGAAAAGAAACCAAACTTATCTAATCCTGGATGGATCTAACACCCTCAAAAATTCAGAGCTGTGTCATATATTGCTAAATATATAATTTACATAAGATCTTTTTGACAGAAACTAGTCTGGAGAAAAAGCTTTTCCAGAGGCTATTAGGCTGGGAGCAACCCCCCAACTTCCTGAGATTTTTAATAGAATATGAAATTATCTGTCTCTTGTTTTGCAAAAGGTAGCTGTCTCTCTAGTCTTGCCATCTATCCATGAATATATAAAAGAATTATGTATTTACCTATTTAATAGCAAACTAATTACACTCCTTAGATCTGTGGCACTCAGAGTAACAAGGCTCTTTATTAATGCATAAATATAGATTACCAATAGGCAGGGCCTCAGCAGCATCCAAAATGCTGCAAAGGCTTTTGATGCAACAGCATCAACAGCTCTTGCCTGTTATTCAATAAAAATGAAAGCAGACTTGCTGATAAAAATGTATTTATAATAATGTAAGAGGGAAAAAAACATATAACAAATTCAGATGTTTTCCAACATCTTTAGTCTACATTTTCTCTGTAACATGCCAACAGTTTCTTAAACATGACATGGAATGGAAATGGAGCTATCTCTGTGATTAAGATCTCAGAACTCAGCACAGCTTTCTCACCATAAAAATGTCAGAGGTTGCTAATGAGCAAGAGAGGATTCCATGTCCATATTCCAGTGGAAACATGTGCTTCCTAGGAATGAAACTGTATGCAGGTAACATGAAACATCTTACTTGTTTCCCAATGTCACTTGAGCAAAAGAAACGTACATGTAGACAGAAAAGTATAAATGTTTTAACATTAAAATAAAGACTAGGAGAAGAAATAATTTCTAAGAGCATAAGATAGGGGATAAAATTTGGAAATTTTAAGGGGGTACACAAAAGCATCAGACCAAGTTACAGGCAGCAGTTCATCTCTCCCAGCCCTTTCCAACATATTTCCTACCAGGAAAATGAGCCTCACAAGTGTCTTTTTATGAAGAAAGTTAATGGATCTTTCCCAGTCACTCAGATAAATTTAATGTGATAATTACTTCTCATTTCACAAATGGGAATGACAGAGCAACAAAATGTGCAGACCCAGGAGAAGCAGACATTAAATGCAGGGTTTTGTCCCACTGTAACGAGTGAGAGTGCATGTGGAATAAAGTGAAAAAAACCACTGTAGAGTCAGGAAAAAAAACAGAAGCTGCATCTCAGGCCATTCCAAATAATGACTTTATTTACTATGGAACATCACCATAGCTGCCCCCACAGCAGCATCCACATCCTTCCCATAAACCACGGGGAATGGAAAAATCCTCTCCACTTCCTGCCTCAGCACCTCGTTCCTGGCAAGGGCACTGCCACTGCCCAGGATCCTCCTGACCCCCACCTCCTCCAGGTGCTGCACAGGTAGCATGGAGCACAGGTTCTCCACGAGGCCACGGCACAGGGCTCTGGTGACATGGCCCAGGGACAGCTCAGAGGCACCAATGCTGCTCACTGATGCCAGCAGCTCAGGAAGGTGTCTCTCTCCAAATAGGGTTGGGTGGACTGAGAGCTTGCTGTGCTTTTGGGCCAAGGCTGCTTGGATTATCCTTGGGTAGATGGCAGATTCCTGAACCTGAAATCCTGCAGATGGGAAATATCTTGTTACCAGTTGAAAGGGTTTGGTGTATCTCACACATGGACAATTACAATAGACACTGATGCACCTTTTGTTCAGCAAAATATTGGATATCCTTTTCTGTGCCCCAAAGGTAATTGTGTCCAAGATTATGAACTATAATTCTCCCATCCAACTGTACCCAGAATGTGCAATAGCAGAAACCTTTTTCTGATTACAGCAACTGCCTTTCCTGACAACAACAGCTGCTCCTCATTGCCTGTACTGTTCCACAAAACAATATCTTTAAAGGGACAAACAGCAGGGTTCAGCTTCGGTGGCTGGATTCCACATGAAAGCAGCATTCACCTTGAGTACTTACTGAAAGAACAATTTCAGAGCTGATTTCTGTAGTGCAAAACCCAAGAGATGATTAAAAAACCTGTCAACACCATGCTTAAAGCACTTAGAAGATATTCCATGAGTTTGAGTCTTAAAATCCATTAGTGCTGCAAAATATGCACCAAAAGGACTCCTTTGGACTACAGTCACACAAAATTACAGGCTGTTGTCCTCAAATCTGCCAACCTTGCCTTTCGAAAATCAACTTGCACAAAATAACTCTGTGCTTGAAACAAAAGAAGGCCTAGAGGGAATATGAATGTAGAGTCCAAGTACAACTGTCCCAGCATGTTCAAAAGCTTCAGCAGGAAATTCCAGAGATCTGGGAAGCATGACCCAGGAATTACATCCTTGTTCCCTTTATGGCATGATGGAACAGCTCTAGGCTTGTCCCTTTGCTTCAGCTTCCTTTCACCTTGATGAGCAACCTCAGTTTTGTGCTTCAACTCTCCTTGAAATGACTCACCCAGCTCTTGTGCCCACTGTGCCACCATTCCCACAAACGTTGCAAGCACATTCCCTCCATTGAGTGATGCTGCCACTGCCAAGTAGTCACCATTGAAGTAGGGAAAATAAGTGACAGCTGAGGAAGGATCTGGTGCCTCTGGAGGCTGGAAACCCAGGGGCATTGAGATGGTCAGCTGAGCAGAGGTGCTGATATTAAGAACTAAAACGTGCACAAAAAAAAAAAAAAAAAAAAAAAAATCAGTGTTTTTCTAAGCTACCCTGAAGGAGAACAATGAGAAAAACAAATTAGATACCAAAATGACCATACCTGCATCAGTCCTCTCAGTCAGACAGGAATAAACAGAGCACTGGAAATCTCCCAGAGCAATTCCCACTTTTGCTCCTTTGGGTATTCCATGCCATGCACAGGTTGTCCTGCCTGCAATACTGCCAGGGTCTCCCACCTCTGGAAGCAAGTGGACAGGAAAGCCAGATTTTTTCAGTCTGGAAGTAGAACAACATTATTGGAATAAAGCAGTTTGGGAATGTGTGGCATTACTACAAAAAACTCTTTGAAGTCACAGATGAACCTGGCCACACATTTGTGGCTGCTGGATTTATGGATGCTTTCACCAGTTTAGAAAGCTTTGTCTTGGACAGCGGGGCAGCATTCCAGTCCAGTGGGCTGGGTAAACCAGTCTGGAAGAATAAAGAGTTTTCCTTTCTATGCAATCTGAGCACCTGAGATTATACACTGCATGTTCAGCAAGTTTAACCTACTGATGTCATATGGACCAGCAGATCCAGGGTGAAGGGACAATCACAAAACCAGCAAAAAACGCAGCTAAGTGTCAAAGAACTTCAGTTGTCATGCAATTAGTAGTTCAGAACAAAATCATGAAGAGTTAAGTCAAACAAACTCCTTATACAATCAGCTGCAGGTGCTACAGCAACACCACCACATTAGTAATAGTTCAGTCAGCAGAATGCAAATTTCTGTCACTCTTTCATACCTTGATGAGAAGATCTTTCACCTTGAGGTCCTGGCCTAACCTAAGCCCTGAAATATATAAGGCCTTAGCACTCAGCCCTGAAAGAGCAAATCATTAAAATAAATAAGTAAATAAATAAACTGATTCCTTCTAAGATTTCCTGTAGCTTAATAGCTCTTAAGTATTATCACAAGTAAGTCTTAGAAGTTAGGAAGCTCAGCTCAAAGAACTAGAGAGTGGTAACTGTTTACCATGGCACAGGTAACCCTGTGGTTGCACTTGTCCACCCCACCCCACCACAGAAAGGGAGAAAACAGCTTGGAATTCCTGATAAGTCTCTCAGCTCTGCTGTTTGTAGGTATTTTTAAAATTACCAGGCCAGATTTTATCAGATTAAAGAGAGCAAACTCTCAATAGCTCTTCAGTACAGGCCACAATTGATTAGGAATAACTTTCAATCCCTTTTTATCTGTAGCACATCAACAGTCAGGGCCCAAAGGGGTGCTCACACTGCCTGGCACAAGCAGTGCACAAACCCCACTGAGTGGCCTTAGCACTTACATGTCAGTATTCCAGCTCTTGTTTCTGCAGTTAAAATATCCCCAGCTGGCAGCATTCTGGACAGACATCAGTGGCTTCTTCAGGTCACACAGCATGGCAACCACATAGTCCTGGATGGTGCCAGCTGCATCATAAGCCTTCAGAAAATCTGGACTTTTAAACAAGATGTTTGAAAACAAACAAACAAACAAAAAAGAGGGGTTTTTGCTTTAAGGCAGTGAGAGAAGACAATTTTCATTGTTAGGGGGAACTTCAGACATGTGGATCCATTAAAATATCAAAGAGCCACCTCAGTGATCAACCTGAATGTTATTGTTTTGGTTTGGTTTTTTAAAAAGGGATTTGTTATCCAAGCTGCAGCAATACTTATCTGCAGGTGGAAGATGGAGAGAGGGCAGCTTTAAGGAATGGGTTGTCTAGGTTGAAAAGCACAGCATTGAAAAAATTATGAGGAAAGTAGTAATTGCTTGTGTGAAATAAACAGCACTTTGTTGATCCTGGAGCATTACTGAAAAATAGGTAAATCCCACTTGCTCTGGGATCCACAAATTATATGAATGGAAATGTACCAAATGTGAAGCAAAACAAAGCAGCTGGACTCATGACTTATGCAGCTCTAAAGATCACACCATGCTCCATATATTTGCTGGACACACAGTGGAAAAAAAAAAGATCTAATAAAATTTTCCCCATTTATTGAACCTGAACTCATTGCAGACAAAGAGCCTGGCTCTTTGAGAAAGATGAAACTGAAGAGCAAATCTCTCTGATGCCAAATCATAAGTGAAAAATTGTATCTCTGCAAACACACCACAACAAAGCAGAGCATTTGTGTCACCCCATGAGGATCTGTCACAGTGTCTGAGGAAGGAAGGAACTGAAATTAATTTAGAGGCTGTGTTTTGGCATCTGGCAGCAACCAGACCAAGTAACTCTGTTACTGTTTTAGAATGTCTGTACTTTCCACAAAGCACAAGGCAAAATGAGTGTTCAAACTGCACTAGCAGAGCTCCTCTGAGCCATGGTACATACCAGAATTATTCTATGGTACTTTAAAGCTTCTGTTCCTATATGGTCAAAAGCTTATCCTTTTATTAGTGATCTGTAGTATTTTTATGAGATCAGACTCTTGCACGCTTAATTGCACATATTTTATATTAAATACTGCCATTTTAAATATTCTTTGACTGCTTAATTAAGATTATGATTACAGAGAAGCACAGTCCTCAGCCTGTAGCAGCATTAACGTGCTACAGGAATACTAATTGTCACATCAATTCAAGATGAGAAACAGCCTTTGGAGCAGCAATGTACCTGTTCTTTGAATACCAGAAGACTGTGGCACATCCAAATCCTGTAGCCAGGCTCACGTGTGACTGAGGCAGAGGAAGGGAAGTGAGGAAGGTGGGGCTGCAGCGCCCGTCCTGCCAGGTGACCAGGTGGCTGACCTTGTCTGGCTCAAAGGCAGGGCCTGTGCCACTCTCTGACCACTTGCACCCTGGAAATAAAACAGAATCCAAGAAATCCAGTGACTCCCTGCAGCACAGCCTGCCTGGCATTCCTTATTTCTGGACACACCTGATAATTTGTTAAATATATCAGAAACAGAGCCAGTAGAGACTGTAATGAAATTAGTCTTAGTTTCCAGCCCTAGATAACATCATAATGCAAATTATCCTTTGTAACACAGAGAACAGTATCCAAAGCCTTCCTTCTCTTGAAGAGGGATATTAAAGATACAACTTAAATAACAGGTGAGCCTCAAAAAAACCCAACCACAGTCTGCTATGGGAGGTGAGAAGCTGGCATGGCAGCTCTCACATGAAAACCTCAGCTGGGATGTGCCACATCACCACCTGGAGAATGCTGCCTCAGAAATGCACTGCCCAGGATGGACAGCACAAAGCTGCATCACCTCTGGAGCCCAAGCAACAAGAAACCTGGATCTGGGAGGTTAAACAGTGCACTGCAAAGTGCTTCAGAGTAAAATCCTCACAGACTACACAAGAAAGGTAGGACAGGGTTTAATTCAGGGTTTAATTCAGTTTCCTAGTCCAGCACATTCCTTTTGAGCAGAGAACACCACACCTTTGAGGAAACCTTCACATTCTTCCATTGAAGAGGAGAGGCTGGGCTCAAGCATTGTTTGCCTGCACATTCCAGGGCACAGCTCTGATCCCTCCCAAGCCATCCCTGGACACAGGGCAGGGACAGGACAGGTCACTCACTCTGGAACTGAGGCAAACTCTTGAGTTTTGGCCAGGGAGCAGAGAGTCAAGAGAAAATACTCAGCTTCCTGACTTGCACAAGTATGGCTGAAAAATGTAATTCTTGGGTTGGATACAGGGCTTGGAAGTCACACTCACACAGTAAAAAGCAGCCCTGAAGGCTGGGAGGTGCCATGAGAAACATGCAAAATAAAACACATACTTTTTCTTGTTTCCTCAATTCCCTGTTCTATCAAATCTAGTTGAACTGAATTTCCAATTGGCTTTCTTTTCTCATTTTAAATGGATTCTAAGAAATATTATTAGTCATAAATCTAACCCTAAAGGACGCTATTAAAATTTTTATTTGTGTCCCAAAGGTCCTGGATTCACTTAGTCCACTCAAAACAAATGAAAGCAAACACCCTCTTTCACTTGATAGAAATGAAACTAAAGTGGCATGTGGCTTTAGGACATAAAATATTTACCAATATGACATAAGAATCTGTGCCTATGAATACACAAGGCTTTGTTATGCAGCTCCTGGGACAGCTGGAAAGCAACAACAGCTCCTCCAGTCCATCAGCCTTGGACTTCTTTCTTTCTAATCATTTTTAGTATTTAATGTAAAATTACAGCCAGTAATGAATAGTACAGTGCCTCTTCAAGCAATTAAGGCCCTGACAACTTCTGACAGGCAGTGACCAGCACTTTTGGGAAATCTGCTCTGTGGTTTACAACACATTTTTACTTCATCTGCATAATTCCTGTTATAAGACTTGGATAATTGTCCAGATGAGCACATTACAGGGTTAAGTGAAAGAAGTCATGCCTTAGACTTCAGTAGGTCTATAAGGCATTAGCCAAGAAGATGATCCACGCCTATCTCATAGGATTGGCAATCCAAGGCCTGGATTCTTCAAATATCCTCCCTATCACAAGGATTATCTGGGTACTTGCACAACCAAGCCCCACATGACTACCTCACTGCAGCTGACTTTGTCTCTGAGGTCTTGGCAAGCAGCTGAGCATCCACAATCCTGACCACAGTCCTTTCCCAGCTCCTACTAACAGAAGCATAAGCAACAAAATGAATGCAACATGACATTTATGTATGATTTGCTAGGAAAAAAAGTCTTGGGATTTTAGGGGAGAAAACAGAGTTATTGAGATGCTGGACAGCATCTAGGTAGGGGGTTTATGAGGTGAATAAAAGCCCCCTGCAAGTTATTCACGTGATACAGAAGTTTTTCAAAGGGCAGCAGATAGCATGTGATGGAGAAACAATTAACAAGGCACAAATATACTCTGCTATTCCTCCTTTATATTAATAATTGTGCTGAATCTGCAGGGATGTCATTAGGCTAAATCCTTTATCATTAAATATAGTGAGTAGCTGAAATTTCAGTATAAAAAGCAAAATTCCCATAAGAGATCTTCTGTTAATTCTGTTTTAGAGAAGACCAAAGTGATGGAGTTTAATCACAGAATCACTTCCCTGTTACAATTTGATTTTCTGCATCAAAATACTCTGAGCAGGAATGTTAAAGAATGACTGTTACCTTTATCACTTTTCCAAAACACAACCCCATGCATTTGTCCAGAAATACCAATGTGGGTGACTTGCTGAAGCTGCTGCTGAGGCAGAGCAGCAAGGCATTCATTCAATGCTCTTATGATTTTCTGGACATGCTGCTCCATTCCCTGCAATCACAAAGCATTATCCTGAGCACGAAGCCATTAGGAATCATTCAGTGTATTTATTAAACAAGGCTGCTTTAGTCAGAAGTGAAGGACAGAATTCATTTAGTTTAATAGCATTTATTAGAGTAATATCCACTACTAAGCTGTAACACGAAAAGAAAAATTGAAAAAAAACCCACAAACCCTCAAAAACTAAAAATCAATATTAACACTGAAGGCCAAATAATTTTTAATTTCCTAAATAACCACACTCAACCATAACTTTAAAAAAAAATCCATGGTCACTGACTACAAGTTTTCATTAATTCACTTTATCTATTGCTCTTCATTTTCCTCACAAAGAGAATTATCCATGTGTTCTGGCAGGTTTTTAGTCTCCTCTGCCTCTTCCTAAAGCTCCTTCCTGTTTACTCAGTGATGATTTTGATGATGGATATTCAGTTTCTGCATATTCTATTCCTAGAACAACCCAGGAAACCGAGCAAACTGTTCCCCAGGAGAAGCTTTCACACTTTCAAAGGTTCAGGTTACTTTGTGACAGACCAGTATGAAGATTACAAAACTATTGCAACAAAGTCTACAAATAGATGTGAACTTTGTGCATAGGTACTTTAGGCTGCATAAATTGGCAGGAGGAGGGTTGGCCTGTTTGTTATCCTTGGTATCAGAAACAGTGCACATTTTTTATGATTCTGATTAATCGTTTTTTTAGATTGACCAGCACAATGGATGTAAAGATCTTTAACAGGAGCACTTGTTCCTGGTTATTTCCACAGGGAGTTTCCAGTTATGATTCCACCTCATATTGAAGTGCAAAATAAAATACCCTTCCAGTTGGCAAGTGGTTGCTGTTTCCTTACTGGGAGTGTCAAAGATAAGGTGGTGGCTCATGGGAGAACAGTTTTACAGTGTCTTAGGCAAATTTTCAAAACCTGGGTCCTTCTTAAGTCGAGCAGCGCTGCTTGACTTCCTTGAACGGTGAGCAGGAGGTGTTTTAATTCTGCTTTTTAACACCCAGACACATGCTGCCAACCTAGGCACCAAAACAATCCAGGAAAGCCACCGCACTCTGCCCAACGTACCAAACAACCCAACCACTGCCAGGCAAGGCCTGTGCCCTGCAATGTCCCTCAGCACTCCCTGGCAGCCCTTACCTGCGCTGCAGCTCCCGGGCTATCGCTGTGTGCCTGCGTCTCCCTGGAGCAGCTCTGTGCCAGCGCCAGCCCTCGCTCTGTCCCTGTCACCAGCGCTGCCTTCACCGACGTCGTGCCCAGGTCAATGCCCAGCACACAGGTGGGCCCAGGCCCGCCCGCCGCAGCCATGAGGGGACTGCTGTCACCTTGCCCAGCACAGACAGGCGGAACAACACCCACCAAGCTGAGCCTAACACGGCTCCTGTGCCGCCCGAGCCCCACACGGCTCCCGGTGCCGCACTGCGGGCTCCCAGGGACGGGGCAGGAGCGCGACCCGGACTTCGCCCTCAGGCTGAAGGTGCTTCCCTGCCCTCAGCGCTCCCCGGCCACTACCCCTGTTCACTGTGACAATGACAAACCTCCCCTTCCCCAGCTGACCTGCGCTGCTTTAAACCACGCTTTTTATCAAAACCAAACCACCACGGCTCCGTGCCCGCGCTGTCCCCCCGCTCACAGCTCTGCCCCCCTCATGGACCCGCTCCGCCACACCCAAGATGGCCCCCGGGGGCGGCCGCAGCGACGCGGTGGGCGCTGGGCGGGGAGTCCACAGGCGATCGCCTCACGTGAGAGCTGAAAAGGGAAGAACCGGGACAGCGCGGGGCACTGAAGCCGGTGGGTTGCCGCCAGCTCCCCGGTACCGCTGCCTCGGCAGCGGCGCGTTCCAAAGCACCAGGTACCCCGATCCACCGGAGCGCAGAGGAAAGGGAGGCAGGACTACAAGTCCCAGCGTGCACCGCGGCGCGCCGCCAGCGCCGAGGGTCTGGCGGGGGCGCGGGGGCTGCCGAGATTTGTAGTCCCGCGGGTCGGGGTGGGGTGGGTCCGTCACGGGAGCAGCGCTGAGGTAAAGATGTGCCCGGGACGGGGAGATCGGTGCCCTCCGAGGGGAGCTGAGGGTCCCTCGGCCGGGCTGGGGGCCGTGGTGCTGCGCTGGGAGCTGCTTGCCGCGGCTTCCAGCGGAGGGGATGGGCTGTGTGGCCGTGTGGGTGCTGAGGGAAGCTTCTCCCTGCTTTTTCTGCAGCTTTTCCACCATGAGGACGCGATGCCTGCTCCCCGCTCTGCTGAGCCTCTCGCTGGCGCTGCTGGGGCCTGGCGGTGAGTGTTTGGTCAGCCCAGCTTGGGCCCACAGCGCTCCAGACCAGTAAGAGATGGAAAAGAGCAGCCCTTTAGTTATCCCTTTACATCTCTCCAGGGATACCTGTGCCACGCTTCACGTCAGCTCTTCTGTCACGCCTTACCTCGGCTTCTTGTGCTCCTACACTGTACTGAGGCTGTGCACCTCATGCTCCAAAATCACTTCTGCAGATTGAACAGCGCCTGGGGTGCAGTCTGCAGTCTGAACCTCTGCACATAACTTCTTACAGACACTGTGCAATATGTGGCAATAGAAAAAAAAAGTGTCCAGGCCAACCTGTACAACCTGTGTCTCTCTCTGTTTCTGTACATGTATATTCTCTTGGACGTCTGGGTACTTGGATTGAGTTTGTGGCCCAAGAAACAATTTTATATTAAATTTGGGGCTTTTATGAGTCCTAGATCACCAGGATCACATCAAGAACCAGGGTGGGTTTGCAGTACCCTATAACCTTCCCTTGGGATGAACTTTTGTTACACTTCAAGCATTTAAATTACTTCCTTGCAACATGTTCAAGTGACAGTTATTTGCTTCTCTTTTTAAGTTTGATTGCCTTGAAATAAGAAGAGAGAACTCCCCCTTTGCTTTTTATCATGTGTACTTATCTGATTGTTCTGACAGTGCAGGGACCAATGAGTAAAATATCTATGGCACAAAAAAAAAGTAGGTTGTTCTTCTGAAGGAGCTGTTCATACTAATTGAGATTTGTGTGGGTGTTTTTTCCCCCCCACAGATGGAGCCATTGTGTTGTCAGTCCCTGAAGTGGTTTCTCTAGAAAGTGGAAGTTCAACAAATGTCACTATCTCTCTGAGGTAAAATCATGATTGTAGCCTTACTTTCCCTTTGGAACATGGGCTGTCCTTCATAAGTGAATTTACACTTCCTCCCTTTCTAAAAGTTGATGCTTAAGAGAAACTTGCATTTCCTAGAAGGAGCACGTCCTGGACAAATGCTCAGTGGAGTTCTTTAGGAAAGCTGTGCAGGACTGTATCACTTGGAAAGGTTTTATTTGTTTTGTTTTATCTTTCTGCTGTAATTTCTGTCCTTCATCACCCCAAGTACATGTGCCTTGTTTCAGCAAAGGGTAATGAGCACCAGGACAGGATAGGACAGGACAGGACAGAATCTTTTGGTGACTTTGCCACTTGTGTGGAGAAGAGGGAGTTAAAATATGGCCATAACTGGATCAGATAAAAGAACCAGTGCAATACTCACACAGTTTGGTGCTGGTTCCTCTAGTATGAGGCAGGTTGTGTTGTGTGTGGGCTGCTCATTGCTGAGAGGATTGAGCAGATGCTCCCCTGCAGCCCCAAAGCAACCCCTGAGCTCAGATACCAGCCTAACTTGTTTTTTCTGCCTTCTCAGGGCTCCACTAAATGAGACACTGATAATAACTCTTAATATTACACACTCCTCAAAGCACAGCACCATTGTTGAACTTCCTGATGAGGTAAGTGAGAGCACAGACTTGTAACCTTATGCAAAAAGCTCCTGCTATTATGGTGCAACTCCTCTTTCTTCCCTCTGCTCTGCCTTGCAGGTACAGTTCCCTGCAGGTCACACTAAAGCAGACTTCCAAGTGAAAGCAGATGATGTGGGACAAGTAACAGTTTACCTTTATCCCAATAATTCCAATATAACTGGGTGAGAAACTGTTTTGGGTTTTTTTTTGTTTGTTTTTTTTTTTTTTTTTTTTTGTTCTACTTACTAAAAAGTTGGGGTAACTATTCCTAGGAGTTAAATGGGACATGGGTGGGATGCAGTTAAGAAGATTGGTAACCCTGCAGCAAATCCCCAAGTACTGAGATAAATAGAGGGCACAGAAGCAGAGTGGTGTCTTAGATTTAATTACAAGATAACTGAGTTCTCATGGCTCCTTAGTCTTGTTTTAATAATGCCTCCCAAATGTATGAAGATCACATGTCAGCTTTTCTGCTCTGGGAAGCATTTGGCTGTCAGTGTCCAGTGGGGTGCTGTCCTTACTGTGCAGGATTTGTTCTGGAGTTCCTGGGGTGTGTCACTTAGGGGAGCCCTCTCCTCACAGATGCCACTTCTCCCTTCTGGGAAAAGGCTGTCCAGATGGAGAAAGCTGGATTGTATTTGCCTGTGGCTCAGATATTAGTGAGCCACAGGGTGCTCCTGTTTTACTTCCTTGTTTTGCTTCTGCTTTTGAAACTCAAGGCGAGCACGTGGAACGCTCACAGGGCAGCACAATCACGAGGGTGAGGAGTGCAGCTCTGCTCTTGCCTAACAGACCCTGTGCTGAGAGAGTGGAAGCCACAGGCACAAAGTGACCTTTGGGAGCATTCCCATGGTAAAAGGATGGAAAGGAAAGACTCAGGGAGTGCGAGGTGTCCCAAACATAACAAGGTGACAAATGAAAAGGGGAGCAACTCAGCTGAACCCAACAGAATCTTTATTGTCTTGTCTCAACACCTGGACTCTATTTCCTCTCTGAAAGCAGAACAAGATAAAATCTCCTGAAAAAAACATGAATTAACTGATTCTTCTTGCATTAACCACCAGGCCTAGGATTCAATTTCAAGTGATTCACAGCATCATAGTGAGATATGCTGATGAGGTGATTGGCTGGATCTATTTTGTTGCCTGGTCCATCTCCTTTTATCCTCAACTCTTTGAGAACTGGCGACGGAAAAGGTAAAGAGATGTGTTTGCAAGTCACTAAAGCACTTCTGCAAATTGTGTTCATAGCTTCAGCTACATCTGTCTTGGTTATTGGGAATTATCTGTGGAAAAGTGGGGGAAAAGGCAAAGGTAGGATCTGTGGAAAAGTGGGGGAAAAGGCAAAGGTAGGGTCTGAATAACTGCAGCCCCAGTGAGATTTTATATATTCAGGTTAGAGGGAAAGCAAGTGCATTCTATAAACACCTAATCCTAAGATTTGGCATCCAGTACGAATTTGTGATAGAGGAGACTTCCCCATTTCTTTTGGTGTCATGTTGTAAACCATCTGGCTGAGGCAGCTGTGATGATCACTGTCAAAGATTACCAGCCTTGAGAGCTGTTTCTCAGACACCTCCTTGTAGTGTCATCATTAGCTAAGTGACTCGAATTAGGAACATTATCATATATGAGAATGAAACTATTTGATCTGGCAATGATGTACTTGTTCTTTATGGATTCAGGCTGGAATGGCTTTATCAGACAGGCTGAGCTCATGGAGGGGTGCAGTTAAAGAGCAGAGACACCAATTGATCCATGAGAGCTCTGTTATTTCACCCAGCTTCCTGATGAACTCACAGCATTGTGTGGTCACAATGTCTGAAGCTTTTGCTTACACCAGAAACTGCTATAAATCAATACATTCCAAGGTCAATTTGGCCCTGAAACTGCCTGTAACTCTCTAATGCATGTTTCTCTTTTTTTTTTTTTCTTTTTTTTTCCCTCTTCTCTAGTGTTGTTGGACTAAGCTTTGACTTCATAGCATTAAACCTTACTGGCTTTATAGCATACAGCGTGTTTAATGTTGGGCTCTTCTGGATTCCCTTGATTAAGGTGAGCACGATTCTCTCCTAACATGTGCTGGGGGGTGGGTATGTGCAGAAGGGAGTTAAGACACGTGGCTGGTTTTGCTTTCTCTTACCTTTAGGAGGAATTCCTGGTCAGTTATCCCAGCGGGGTGAACCCTGTGGCCATCAATGATGTTTTCTTCAGTCTCCACGCAGTAGCCCTGACCCTCTTCACCATCATTCAGTGCTGCATCTACGAGGTGGGTCTGGGTGCTGGGCTCACCTGTGGGCTCTGCCAGAGCTCCCTCTGCCGGGCACCTCCCTGCTCTATTTGGGCTCCAAAATCCCAAATTCCCTGCACTTCCACCGGCCTTTCCAGGAGCCAGGCTTCACAGTCCAGCTGCTTTTCTGAGCTAACCTTATCTGCTTCAGCGTCAGGGATGTTCCAAACTCATAAGTAAACTCCTTAGGGAGTCAAAATAACTGAGGCAAACAGCCAAGTTCATAAAGTTCCCAAACAGATCTCTAGCCAGCACATAGATTACAGCTCTTCACAGCACAAATGCTTTGCTGTTTCTTTGGAGCATTCTTCAGGTTATGATAGCACTTTAGATACTCCCTGCAATTCAAACACAGTTTTTTCAGCTGCTTTCCTAAAACAGCTGTAAATGCCTTTTCATAATTCACACCTTTTCAAGTGAGACTGATTGTTACAGTCAAGTGATTCTTACTTAATCCCATTGATTGTTCCAGTCAGGTGGTTCTTTGTTTGATTGTCATTGTAAAAACCTCTCATCTGAACAGGCCAATTTTCTCTAGACAGTAACTGTTTCTCTCTTGGGGTTCTTCCTCTGGTCATGCTAAACCTAAAACTGTAACAGCCCATCTGTCATCATTGCCAGGTACTACAGAATTTTCTAGGGAAGAATTAGAAAGCAACCATAAATATTTTACCATAATGATATCATCAGCCTTTTGCACATACAGCAACTCTTGATCTCATCAGGTTGAATTTTGGAGATTTGTTGTAGTGTATGCACCATAAATACTCAAGAATACTGTTCCCCCTTGCTCAGGGACAGCAGTGTTTTAAATTATTTATATGAATATTGCTCATCAGCTCTTGCAAACCTCCAGCTGGTTGCTGTGGCACTTGCTTAATTTTACAGTTCTCCTGTGAAACCAGCCTGACTGGTAAAACAGGTTTGGACTGTAGCATTGCAGGGTCCTGAGCAAACTGTATCTTTGTGTCTGGGGATGTGTGACCTGGCCAAAATGTATCTGAGAAATAGAAAATGTATTTCTGTTTCAGAGAGCAGGTCAGAAAGTATCCAAAGTTGTTGTTGGACTCCTGGCACTTGCATGGATCTTCACCTTCACAACGCTGTTCCTGGCTGCAGCTGAGGTGATGACATGGCTGCAGTTCTTGTTCTGCTTCTCCTACATTAAGTTAGCAGTCACACTGATCAAATACTTCCCACAGGTAAATCTGAATTATTCTGCTTGCATTCCATATCCCTGCCACCCTAAGCCTGCAGTGTGTGCTCTTGAAAGTCTGAAGAGACTAAACCACCACTGATTACTTATTAATAGAGACAAACCCGTGGAATTGTACTGAAAGCAGCTTGAAAGTCAATGCCAAATGCCTGTGCATGACACTCTGACTTCTTATCACACTCCCAGGCCTACATGAACTTCCGTCGGAAGAGCACTGAGGGATGGAGTATTGGAAATGTGTTACTGGACTTCACTGGGGGAAGCTTCAGCCTTCTCCAGATGTTTCTGCAGTCATACAACAATGGTAAGCCTGGATCTGAGATGCTGGAGCCTGTCTTTATGTGGTGGGAAGTCCCACTACATAGCAGATATAAAGCAGGTTATCTCAGAATGTTTGTGCTCTGTTGTGGAGAGCTGTCCTTATAGGAAGGATAAGGAATCTGTTCATATTCCCTCAAGATATAAAATGAAGTAGCCATCCTGAAGAAACCACAGGAACAGTTATTAATTAGCTTTGCATAAGATGTGCACTGCAGTCTGTCTTAGGTGTGTCTGAGCAGTCCAGGTAATAGACATGAACTTCTCTAAAGGGTCTTAAGACAAGACTACACTTAAGGGGTCAGACTTAACTCTAATTTTGTGTTTGACAGATGAGTGGAGGTTAATCTTTGGAGATCCAACCAAGTTTGGCCTGGGTGTCTTCTCCATCATCTTTGATATTGTTTTCATGGCCCAGCACTACTGCCTGTACAGGAGACGAGGGTATGAACCTTGTGAATAACCAACCTCACTTGTGGAGACCCAAACTTTAAACTGAACTTGGCCCTACCCTGTCTGAGGGGTTTCAAGATTCTTGCTGCCAGTTACCAGAAACACTGATTCTGATCTCTGTCTGTGACTTGATCCTCTCTGGGCTGGAACACAAACTGTTGCCTTGCCAAGCACTGGCTGCCAGATGCCTTAAGGACAGCAAGCTCCCAGCTGCACATGGGGGACTTGTGCCTGTTGGAGCTGCACACACAGCTCAGAGGGAGCTGTCCAAGCAACACATGGCTCTTTTTTCACCAACCATAGGGAAGAGAAAGACCAAAGTGATGTCCTTCTGATTGGAGGTGAAGCACAAAGAGCAGAGTTCTGTCTTCCAAAAATCTGAGATCCTGTTTAAGCAACCACTTAATACCTTTAAGTAATGACTGAAGACTGTCTGTGGATCCAAGTGCTGCTGCTGACTTTCCCAGACAGCTCACAGTCCACCACCACTCAGGCTGGCCACAGTGGTACATCACAGTAATGGAGTTGGTAACAAATGCACAAATATTACAATTTGAACTCTTTATTAAAAAAATTTCCTAAAAAACAGAAGCTGTCTTCTTATTTCACTGAAAGCTCTTTCAAAGGTGCTAAGACAAGTAATTAGAAGGGAATCTGTGCATTTATGCTTCAATGCTTAGAACCTAATGTGTCTTTCTAGGTGTCAACACAAAGAAAACTAGATCCCAGGTGAGGTTTGACAGTTCCCCACCAGTGAAACCAGACCTTACTGACCTCAGTCATTCCAAAATGTACCCTTGAGCCAAAAATGGTCACAGCACCCAAGTGATGTAGCACTATTAAATATAAGGAGAAACAGCTCAGGAAAACCAACTTTGTTTTATTGTGTGTAAAATCAAGTGAAAAAAGCAGTACAAATAGCAGTGTATCTTTATAGTAACAAAAATAACTCCAACTTGAAAGACTTATAATTTACTACTGAATTCTTAAGTAACAAAATTCTAAAGCAGGACTGTAGTAATTCCAGAGATATAAAATTGGTAAGTAGGCATCTGCTGGTGTGCACAGAACAGTCTGAGATGCATCAATCACAAGGTACATGGCACAGCAGTAAGGTACTGAATAAATTAGTCTGCCACCTCCTCGTGCTCTATTTACAACAGCTTACCCCAAGGCTGCTTAAGGAAACTATAGATATGTATAGATCAACTGAGGAGGATTAAAAACTTCAGGTTTTGGATAATTGTAAAGCTAACTGGCTAACAAACCACAGGATACTAGATCATGGACTTAGGGTTGCAGGAAGAATCTTCAGTCCTGTGGCAAGCTGATTTAAACCACTTAGCATCCTACTAGAAGTTTAAATTTGGTCAAGAGGCACTTCTGCAAAATTACTGGCATATTCGTCTCTTCCATCCAATAAATCACTGATTTAAGCAAAGTCTTCTACAAGACAAACCAAAATCCCTCCCATTTCAAGTCTGATAGAAGTGGAATGAAGGACTGAAAACTCTACAGCTACAAGCAGCATTTCTGGTAAGTTCAGGAACATTGTTTTGTTTCCTGCTCAGTATTCCTTTCAATTAAACTCAATTCATCCAATGGTCCAAACTGGGAACAAGGAGAAGTCAGATTTTACCCTGCCACTGAGGTTGATCTGTAGTGTCCATGAAGTTGTAGTGTATTTCACAGGCATTGATCTAACACTTGTGTGCTCCTCAGTTGTTCCTTGCCTGAAGAGGCTGCTTTGTCCAGGGAATCTTTGCAGGAAACTGTAATGCCCCAAACCCTTCAGCCACTCTCTATCTTGCACACAGTGAAGGATTAGTACAGTGCTCCTCCCCACAGCACTGTGCAGCTCTTAACTCTAGCATTTAAATTTGGTAGTGGGGGGGGAAAGGACAGCTCCCTTCTAAAAGCTTAGGCACAGCAAACCCTCTGGTCTCCCATAGCAGAAACCACATTTCCTCCTAAAATAGGAAGCTTTTGTGCTACAGAAGAATCCTGAGCAAGTTAAGGCTTTTCCAGTTGCTCTTAGATAACTTGGGTCTGTCCTGTCCTGAAAGCCATGTCTATAGAAGTCTTGCCATGTACCTGCAGGGCAGACTTTAGAGAAGCACTGCTGAGGGGAGTGTTGTTTCACTACTGCCAGTTACACCAGAAGAAAATAAAATAAAAAAGTAGCGTTTACCACAGGTAGGAATATGCACTCCTTCCAGACAACCTGTTCCAGTCTAATAATTGCTTCTTTCTTTGATACCAATCTATACATCTCCCTTCCCACCCCCTCCCCAGCTGGATGATGGATTAGGACATCATGGATTGCTGCACAGCCTTCTGCAGGGACTGCCTGGTCACCAGCAGCCGGACCACCTCCTCATTCCTTTTGGTCAGCCTCTTCCTGGCCTGGTCATGGGTCACCATTGTCATATCCCAGCCATTCACCTGGAAAAAAAACCCCAAAAAATAAGGTAAGTGCAGGGACTCACAGGTGTCCTGTAACTGTTCCATCAGAACCACATAGTGGATACGGTTATGCCACAGCTCAGTTTATTTATAAACCTCACAAACTTTCCTGGGAAGTACCCAGAAGATTATTTTCCCCAGCAGATGCTTCTCTGCACTGTGCAGCTGGTACTACATCACTACTGTCTTATTTTGGTGCTTACCTGCATGATCTTATCTCCAATCTGGAGTCCTGCAACTTCTGCTGGGCCTCCTGCTGTCACCCTTGTTACATAGATACCCTGGGAAAAAAATTGAGTGTTCATTTACTAAATGTGGGAGGATCCAAGGCCATTTGGCTGAAAACACAACAAACCTCTGTAGTGTATTATGAGATTTTAGTTAAAAACAGGCTTGTGCAATGCTGGAAAATAGAGAAGGTGGAGAAGTCACTTGAATAACTCAGTATGCAAGTTATAATGGAGCA